GTGGAGGGACCGCTTCCTCTTGCCCACTTGGCCTCAGTAGCTGCATTCAAGCTGCAACTGTCACACTCAAACTACGACCTTCACGCTCACTGCAGGTTCGATACAATCACGCTGAGCAGTTCGCTTCTCAGCCGTCGCGGCATCCTCCTTGTGAATTCGCTCAACTTCCTGCACTGTGTGCCGCATTAGGGAGATCGATATCAGGCTGCGCTGCGGAAGCACCTATCCGATCACTGATTTGGCAGTCTAGCCCGGCCCGAGGCTATGCTGCTGAACACGGGCCTTCTTTTCAGCACGCTTCCGGAAGGCTTGCTGGATTTTGGCTGCCTGACGAGGCCGGGCACTGGCAACACCCATGGCTGCGTTACAGCGTCGTTTACATAATCGAAGAAACACCGAAGGATCTTGAGGTGAGCCGAGAACCTTAACGGGGCATTTGCCTGACAACAAAATGGACAAGGCTTGTGCTGACCGCATCGCTACTTACAAGTTACTAATTGTTACAGTTGCAATCGCTCCTCTTTTACCAGTCGGTAAATTCCGGAAAGTGCAATCTTCGCTGCTACTCTTGCGCCCAATGCTTCATGTCATGCGGGCCTGCTCCTTGCGCTCCTTCATGAGGGCCTGGAGACGGCAACACAGTTGTTGACGCGATTGCTGCCGATCGTTTTGTCATGTTGTCGCAGCCTTCGTCTTTTCGCTAAGACGGACTGATCATGGTGATGGTGATGCTGGCGAGAATGGTGACGGTGATGGCGATGATGTCGAAGATGATCCGGAGGAGGATGCTGTGGCGTGATTGTGCTTCTCTTGCACAACACAACTGCCGCTGCCGTAGCAGCTGTCGACAAAGTTATCGTCGTTGTAGTACTGGTGGACTGGTGGAACTAGTAAGTCGATAGTCTTAGATAGTAACTAGTAACCGCAGCAATTGGAGGTAAGGGCAGCGGGCAGTGGCAGGGCTTAGTCAAGTAGTGGTGCCGCAAAGATATGAATATGCGTAACAATAGCAGCGGCAGCAGCAGCAGCAGTAGAGTAGTAGCAGTAGTAGTAGTAGTAGTAGTAGTAGTTGTTGTTGTTGTTGTCGTCGTCGTCGTCGTCGTCGTCGTCGTCGTAGTCGTAGTCGTAGTCGTAGTCGCAGTGGTAGTAGTAGT